GAAGTTACACAAAGTTAAAGATCAAACATCACAATTCGGCTCCTTATCGCCCAAAAATGAATGGGGCAGTAGGCAGCGAATAAAAACATCAAGAAGATCATCACAAAAGCAACTGAAACATATAGGGGCATGAGAAATTACCTTTTGCGTTGCTTGCTTATCGCACGTTCGTTCGTACATCTACTGGGCAACACCATTCTTTGGTATATGGATGGAAGCAGTTCTACCTGTTGAGGTGGAATACCTTCTTTGAGAGTATTGATGGAGTTGAACTGGACGAGGCTGTGGGTACAAAAGTAGGTTTGATCAATTAATTTGATTGAGGAGAAAAGGCTGAAAGCTATCTGCCATGGCCAATGTACCAGAAAAGGATGATACGAGCATATGACAAGAAAGTCAGACCTTGAGAATTTCGTGAAGGCGTTTGTACTAAAAAGATCCTACCTATGCAAAAAGACTTTCGAGGGAAGTGGATGCCGAACTGGGAAGGTCCCTATGTTGTAAAAAAGGCATTCTCATGAGGAGCTTGGTGTTAACAGAAATGGATGGAGAAGATTTGCCTAATCCCGTGAATTCAGATTCGGTCAAGCGATATTATACTTAAATAAAAAAAAAAAGGAATGAAAAAAATGAAAAATGAAGAAGAAAAATAAATAAAGGAGGGTTCAAGATGAAAACCCAAAATGGGCATCTTGAAACCAAAGGAGGATTCGAGTTGAAAATCTGTAATGGACGGCTCGAATAATCAGAAATTGAAATGGTGGTTTCCCTTGGAGGCTAACAGTTTAGGGAAAGACTCTCATGCTCACACATCTTTTGTACGATCTGAATCTTCGAAACACATGTCAACTTTCGAGAAAGATTTGGGGTGAAGAAATAGAAGGACTCAGCATTGATATTCACTATATTTGTCCATGTTTTTCCTTGTATACTTGTTTTCTTGTCCCAAAAGATTGTACTTTCTCATTATCTATCTTCAGTGAAATTTTGATTTGATTCAATGTCCTCGCATATATTCACCAAATTACTAATCAATAACAACATCGGTTACTATGCTTTACTCTGAAAAGTGTCAGATTATGGGATTTTGAAACAGGTGTTCGCCAGAGAGAACACATACAAAGGCACGCTCCCATCAATCATTAAACAAATCATTGAGAAAAAAGAGGGTTTAAATTAAAGAAATCAGTTTCAACATAATCATACTTTTCCAAGCAAAGAAGTCCCAATTTAAAGGCATGCAACAAGGAAAGCCATTCTGAATGAATTTTCTCTGAAAATCAATCAATGACCAAAGAATCAAAAGGCAAGAAACTCTCTCGGGGTAGATCAGAAGGACCAAGTCAAAGAATATTTAATGAGAGGTCAAGGAAGTAACCAGGCATGGACAAACGCATAAATATCGCATATTTCGATCAAAGAGTATGAGGGAGTCTCAATGCCAGGAACGAACTGAACATAACCCTTTAAACATGCATTTAGATCATTCTTAGAGCATATTGATAACATGAATCATAGCATATGACCATTTTACAGGATCATCAAGACTTATTGAAGCAATGAATCAGTCAACATCAACTGACCAGACTTCCTCATCACGTAGGAGCCGTGTCAACATTAGGATAACCAGCCGTCCTCATCACGTAGGAACCGAGTTATCACCCTCCTAAGGTGGCCAGAGTTTTTCATCATGTATGAACCGTGTCATCCCCAGACCAGACCTCTTCATCACGTAGAGCCGTGTCAACCATAGATACCAGTCGTCCTCATCACGTAGGAACCGTGTTATCACCTTTAGATGGCCAGATCTCTCATCACGTAAGAGCCGTGTCAACCTGATAACCAGTCGTCCCATTACGTAGGAACGAGTTATCATCCCTAAAGATGACCAGATTTCCTCATCACGTAGGAGCCGTGTCACCCTTAGACGACCAGACCTCTTCATTGCGTACGAGCAGTGTCGTCCCCACCAACAAAATTATCCATTTTTTTCAAACCAAAAGGAGGAGGACCAGAAAAAAAACGTGTTTTCTTGTCGTCTTTGCCCTATTCTTGTTAACACAAGAATATGCAAAGAGGGGCAGCTGTAGACACCCGTTTTTGTCCGGGTTTTTTTCCGTTATTTTATTATATTATTATTATTATCGTTATCTTATATTTTATTATTATTATTACAATTTTTTTTTTTTTGCAGGCTTAGAAGCCCAATTCAGATTACAGAGGCCCAATAACCCGAAGCCCAATTGGCCCAGAGACCCGAAGCCCAATTCAGATTAGGGTTTTAAACCCTAAAACATATTAGGGTTTCAAACCCTAATCCCCTTCCAGCCGCCGTGTGACCCTTCTCTGCCTCAGCGCCGCCACCATCACTGTTCCGATCTGACCCCAACTGTTGCACTATTATCATCTACAGCAAAACCAGTCAAGAAAATATATCACATACAGTTCAATCTCACAAAATCTAAACTCCAAATTAAATACCAATAAATCCCTAAATATTCGGGATTTCTATCCTACCAAATCAGAAAAAGCCAGGCTCTACCTAGATATATCATCATCTCACCAGAAATCCGGGGCAAGCAAAGATAAAGAAGAGAAAAAAAGAAAAGCAAGGGGGACAGAAAAAAGAGAAAAAAACATCCATTCGAAAAAAAATAAAAAGAGAGAGATAGAGTAAGAATCTTACCCTGGTTTTCGACCACCACCGTTGCTTCATCGGAGCCAAGCGTCCCTCGCCGAAGGTAAAAGAAACTTGTCTTTTTTGGGGCTTGTTGGGTTCGAAATCAAAGGATTTATTTGGGTATTAGGTCAGTGTAGTGAGTGGATCTAAGGTCGTAGAGAACCTTCTCTGGGTTTGGGATACTCCCCGTGGCCACCGTTTACGGTGGCCGGGGAGTTAGGCCTCTGTTTAGGCGGGGAAGAAGGAGATGTGAGAAGGGAGAGGAATAGCCGAACGGCTGAGGAAATGAGGGGGAGAGTATATGAGTTTAGGTTTCAGAATAACCCTTAAAAGGGTTATATTTCAGACGTCGAACGGCGTCGTTTGAAGCATGAGTGAGCCGAGTGATGGGATTAAGGGCTAATAGCCTATTTGGTCCTCTTACCTCTGTAACTTGCACGCGTGTCCTTAGCATTATGGGTAAACAACAGTTTAGGTCCCCAAGCTTCTGTAAGGGTGTAATCTGGTCACTAAGGAAATCCATGCGATCTTATTTCGAGCCTATAGTTTTATTTTGTTTGTTACATCACTAGTTTATATATGTAGGTTTTATGATCTTCGAATTTGGACATGTAATTTATGTTTTTCTTCATTTTGGTCACTGGACTGGTTTTGTTAATCTTTCTGAAAGTTTAGACATTATACCCTTTATTTATGAAACTTTTATTTGATCACTACTATCATATTTTGGGTTAAATTTCGATTAATGTCTGTTTATTTTACTTTCATTATATTTTAGTCCTTATCTGTTATTATTACATTTTTATTAGAGTTCGAATTTGGCCATATTATTTTATGCATGTTTCGTTTTAGTCCTTGTTTAATATTTGACTTAATTGTGGTTTAGTTCTTTATGTTTTTTTTCATTTCATTTTAGTCCTATACATGATTTATGGGCTATTTTAGCTTAGTACATATGCTATTTAGTTTTTTAGTATGAACTCTGATTTATCTGAAATTGCTATTTTAGTTTTTTTTCTGTTTCTTTCATTGTAGTCCTTTAAGTTTCTGATTTTACCATTTTTGCTCTTTGAGTTTATGTGTTTGTTATTCTAGTCCTTTTACTTGCTTTTTGATCATTTTATCTTGGTTACAATATTTACTTATTTTCATTGTAGTCATTTATATATGAATTTATTATTTGGTATTTGTATTATGTAAATAATGTTGTTTGTTTCATTTAATGTAAAGATTCTACTTCGCATATTTATTTATATTTATTTCCATTGTATTCTCTATTGTATATTATCGAATAATTTCAAGAACACATTTATAGAACGGGCGTGGAAAGTATCACTGGATCGAAGTGGTACAATCCGATACGACGTTCAAACTGAATAAATAAAAATGCAAATTCTTCCTTTACAAGCTATAGAAATTATTTTTATTTTTATTATTTTTTGATTAATTTATTTGATGGTCATATTGTTTAATATTTAAATTTTAATCTTATTATTATTTCTTCATTGAATCTTAATATGAGTGATGTATGTTTTGGAAAAGTATAATATGATGTATTTTATGTCAATTTTCGTCATTATCTTTTAAGTTAAAGAGAAAATATTCTTTACAAGTAAGAAATAGACGAGGTAGCTTTCCCGGCGGAGGATTGCAAATCTCGAGATTTTATCGAGAAAAGGATTTTTTTATTTTAACTAATATTCAATAAATAATCATAATTTATTATTATTCTATTTTCATAATTTTTATTGTATTAATGGTTGTTATGTCAATATTAACGATACAAAATTAAGCATATTGTATTTTCTACTCATGACGATATTATTTAGTGGTAATTCAAAGATAGGATATACTTTATAGATAAGAAATAGATGAGATAGCTTTCCCGTTGGAGGATTGCAAATCTTGAGATTTCTTACCAAGTGAAGTATTTCTATTATTTTAATTTTAACAAATATTCAATAAATAGATCATATTTTTTACTTCATATTCAAATTGTAATTTCCACCATTTACGACGATGTGTAAGCTACACAGTACCAATTTTGGGCGTTGTGGGGCGTTTACCCTTCCCCACACGTAACCGACTCCCGAACCTGTTTTAAATGAATCTTTGGTAACGTAGACCAAATTTTTGTCTTATAAAATTATTTTTCTTAAAATTGTTTTTAAAGGACGTTTTTAGGTATTCGACCTACCTAACCCAAAGGTCGATGGCGACTCTTTTCAATCTTATTCAAATCCACCAAATTTTCCAAATTAAAGTTGTAATCGTTTTTTTAAAATAATACTTAATTGTTTTAAAAAAAAATGGTTATGACAGTTAGCTTTGCTCTTTTCAAGGTAATCGTCGATGACCCCTGCACTGGCGGAAGAAGCGGCGGCTGAGGTGAGAAGGGTAGCTGCCAAATACAGCATAGCAGCTCTTCTTCCTTCACTGCCACCTGATTGTTTGACCTCAGAGAGTTTAGCCTGTTGGGATCTGACGACAGGCAACTTGTGACCACCACACACAACCGCGGAAGCGAGTGATGGCACTAAGGCGAGCTTGGAATTTAGCCCGGATGATCCACTGCCTGAGATTTCATAGCTGCATGTCAAAACGGAGTTCATGGATGCCATTGCTACAAAATGGAAAATGAATGTTAAATTTGTTTACAAATTAAGTCATTGAGTATAATAGATTAGTGACTGGGGATATTTGAAAAGCAGTGATGATGATTTGGATAAAAGATTATGGTTGGAGTGTGGATAAGGTGAGATTGCCTCACTCGTTTTGGCAAACTCCATTCTTCATGTGCTATTTTTGGTGGAATGGAAAGCTTTAATTTTGGGTCCACTTTGAATCTAAAATTTGTTCTTTCTATTACATCAATACGTAGCACTGTTGCATAAATTGTTTAACATTTATGTTCAACGAGAACATGGGAGAGTCTGATGCACACCATAGGGTTAGGGGAAACACTTAATATCCGACATCAATACGGCTGATTTCTCAATTACAAATATTTATCCACTGGAAATACTTAATGTCCGTCAGAATTATGGTTGATTTTTTCGTTACAATTTACAAATATTTCTCAATTGGAAGCACCATAGTTATCACAATTCCAATTTCAATTAGTTTTAAGGCTTTTTTTTTTATAACCACTAGTATCCGATTTATTAATCGATTAATTTAGATCGAGTAATGCAGAGACGAGGATGACCTCCCAACTCAGTTTATTTCATTCAATCCTGGCTTTTAAATGTTTCAATCATTATCTCATCCCATCAGACCAACTGATTGTTGGAAGTTTTAAGTTTAATTTTGATTGCTTTTAATAATTAGCACTAATATTTTAAATTAGTTGTTAATAATATTATTTTATTTTTATTTATAATTAACAATATCTAGTACTTTCTTATTTTCATTAGCACAAAATTTTAATATTTTAAAAATAATGTTTTCAATAACATATTCATTTAATTAAATAATTAATTCTAATCAGTAATTCTTAAATTTTATTTCTATTTAGATATATTTTTATATATTATTGAGATATATTTGTATGTATATATAAGTTCATAGATGAAAAATATTTTAAACGGTAAGTATAAACGTAAACCAGTATATTGAAACATACCAATATCAATATATATATATATATATATATATATATATATATATATATATATATATATTGTTAGGATTTATGAAGCTCAATTGAACAACTAAAAAAGTTGCAAGAGGGATGAATTGACAAAAACAGTTTAGGGAGTAAGGAGAAAAAAATATAGAAACTTTTGCATAGCGATTTATAGTGGTTCGACTTCTCAACTAAGTCTACCTCCGCTACCTTAGCTCCTCACTTAGGATTTTCCAACAAATCCACTAATTTGTTCTTTATTTTTCAAGGATCAAGAGTAACATTTACACTCCCTAGTTTTTCACTTGGCTAAACTAAAACCAATCCCCTTTACACAAGGTAAAAGGAAGTAAACAAATAAAACCTCTACAAGGTAAGGTGATTACAAAATTAAGGCTCAAAAGAACAAAATATTTACAAGAGAATATGAATAAAGAGTGAAAAGATCTTCTCTTGTGTTTGATTGTTTGGATAGGTGTTCTAACCCTTCTTCAAGTGTCTTGGACTAGTATTTATATGTTGGAATGAAGTTGTGGCCGTTTCTAGCCGTTGGGAGTGTTTTGGAGCCGTCGGGGATGTTTTTCTCTGCAAAATAAAACAACCCATAACAGAGGGTACCGATACTCCTATAGGGAGTATCGGTACTACCTTCGTTATTTTAAATCAACTAGTCGTTACTAGCCGTTGGGGTCTGATGGTATCGATACTACTATGTAAAGCAATATCGGTACCCCTTTGGGTATCGGTACCATTTTTGCATTCTGGAATTTGAACAATGCTGGTAGTATCGATACTACATAGTAAGTATCGATACTTCCCTTACTTTTGGTATCAATACCATACGAACATTATCGATACTGTAAGAACAATATCGATACTTTTTGTACGTGAAAATAAGTTTTATGCTCAAATTCACTTTTAAAGACTTTGAATTATTTTTGAAAACTTTGAATAAATTCAATTCAAGTCCAAAAACATTTTGCCTTAAATTGTTATATCAAAACATTAAAAAAGAAGTTCAACAATCTCCCCCTTTTTGATATAACAAAACATTTGAAAATTATTTTTGGTAAAACTCTCCTTTAATAAAATATTTAATGAAAAAATATATCAATTGTTGGAAAAAGTATGAAAATGTTTAGCTCCCCTTTTTCGTTAAGAAATTGAATTTTTCAAACCCATACATCTCTCCCTTTTTGTTATATAAAAAAGTTCAACTTTAAAACATTTGAAAATTATTTTGGTAAAAACTCTCCTTTAATAAAATATTTAATGAAAAAATATATCAATTGTTGGAAAAAGTATGAAAATGTTTAGCTCCCCTTTTTCGTTAAGAAATTGAATTTTTCAAACCCATACATCTCTCCCTTTTTGTTATATAAAAAAGTTCAACTTTAAAGTTGTAAAATAACTTTGGAGAGTAAGTGTTAAATTTGACATAAAATCATTTGAGAAATCAAAAGCTTCCCCTGAAATACTACATTCCAAACAAATATTTGACTTTAAAAGCTTGACACTTAAACAAAATTGAATTTCAACAAAGAATAACAAACATGATAGTAGTATATGAAATTCAATATATCCAAGTCTAAAATACTTTATGCAATACCAAATGTTGAAATTAAGTGCATATGCATAAAGCCTTCCAAAAATGTTATGCATTTGAAAAATTTGATATCAATTGTTAGAGAGATGTCATTTACATTTTTAAATTACATTAATAAACATTTAAATTTAGGTCAAAAATTAAAATTTGTAAAATCAAAGCATTTGAAAATTTGATATCAATTGTTAGAGAGATATCATTTGCATTTAAAACCATTTTTGACCAAAATTCATTATGATGAATACAAATTATGAAAAATCATTAAATCTTTAAAGTGTTCATCATAACATCTTTTTAACATACATGAGATAGAAAACATAAAATCATTTAAAATCAAAACTCATGTATGCTTAAAATTAAATGAGCAACCAAATAATCAAAAAACAAAAGTATTAAGCCTAGAGGTTACCCATTCCTTTTCAAGTGTGGCTAGAGCATTTGAGTATCGTCACTTTCATCACCATTGCCCCCACACATTTACAAGAGACATTTAAGTTGATTTTGGTATCCAAATTGCTTTGAATCCTTGAACGTTAGTTTCAATGCCCCTTGTTCCTTTAGGAACCCATACTTGTCTAATTTTAAAAGATTTTATTTTCTTTATAGGACAAGCATGTTCCATATGACCAAGAAAATGACAATGTGAGCATTTTGCCTTTTTTAAACATAATGAGTTATTTTTAGAAATTAATTCTTTTTCTTTTGTTAATCTCTCAAGCTTAACCTTAAAATCAAAATTTTCTTTTTCTAAATCATTGATTTTGACTTTTGAAATCTCTAAATCATTTTTCAAAGATTTATTTTGTTTTTCAAAATCAACTTTTGCTTTCAAAACCAAATAAATTTCAACTTTAAGTTTTGAAATTAATTTTTTATATTTGGAATTCATGGTCTCAAATTCCAAATACAACTCATTGTAAGCAATTTTTAACTCATCAAAAAAAAAGATTCTAATTCATTTGAGTTAGAAATTACCATTGAATCTTCTTCGATGGCCATGAGGCATTGGTTGGCTACTTCATCTTCATCATTGGAGTCATCTTCATCACTCCAAGCTACCACAAATGCCTTTTTCTTGCTTGATCCCTTCTTCTTTAGGAGGGGACACTCATTCTTGACATGGCTGTTCTTTGACAATTAAAGCATATCGGGGGACTCTTCTTCTTGCTTGATTCATGTTTCACTTCTTTAGAAGTCATGAATCTCTTGAATCTTTTGAATAGCTTGGCCATCTCTTCTTCTTTATCATCATCTTCATCTCCTCTTCATTTGAATCTTGATATCTCTTATTAATGGATTTGAAGGTAATGCCTACCTTCTTCTTATTTTCCACCTCCTTTTTGTCCTTCTTTTCTTCATCATCTTCTTCTTCCTTCACCATCAACTCATAAGTGAGAAGAGAACCAATAAGCTCGTCGAGAGTGAAAGACTTTAGGTTTTTAGCTTCGATAATCGTCGTCTTCTTCGATTGCCAAGACTTTGGAAGAGAGTATATCATCTTCCTCACAAGCTTCCCGTTAGGGATTACTTCTCCAAATCCCTTTAGACCGTTGACAATCACGAAAAATCTATTCATCATATCTTTGATATCTTCATCCGGGTTCATCTTGAGATTCTCGTAGCTATGGTTGAGAAGACTTATTGTTACACCCATTTCCCGTATACCTATTCGTACACGAGATACGTATGTCACATCACTTTTAAAACAATTCCTCCTTTTAAAACCCGTAAAATTTTTGTTTCTTCTCATATAATATTTTAATTCAATATTAATAAAACATTTATTAACTTTAGTATATAAAAAAATTTATTGTTAAAACATTTTATCTTTTCTACATCATTATAAGCCAAATACTTTTCACAGTGTTATCATAATTCTATTACATGCCCACTAATAATATAAAAAAATAGACATAGATGTCATACATTTACTGATGAGATGACTCTCGATTTGCGATGTCAGATGCACTCCTTACTCTGCTTGATAAAACCTACGCGTGAAATAAACACACCTTAAGTATTTACTTAGTGATGCAAGAATACTAGTGAGGAGAGATCAATACATCATTATATCATATCTATCAAATACAAATACATTATTTTCAAATCATTATAATTTCATTGATATGCACACGTAGTGCCGACATGGTTGCTCATAAACATATTATGAATTCTGTGGGTTGCACACTTAGTGCTTATACATTCGTTCATCAACAAATGATGAATTTCGTGGGTTTCACACATAGTGCCTATAAGGTCGTTCATCAACATATGATGAATTTTGTGGGTTGCACACTTAGTGCTTATACGGTCGTTCATCAACATATGATGAATTCTGTGGGTTGCACACTTAGTGCCTATACGGTTGTTCATAAACAAATGATGATTTCCGTGGGGTGCACACTTAGTGCCTATACAGTCGTTCATCAACATATGATGAAATATGTGGGTTGCACACTTA